CTATCTTCTTTGATGAAATCAATGCCATTGGAGGGGCCTGGTTTGATGATGGTGCTAGTGGTGACAATGAAGTACAGAGAACCATGTTGGAGCTGATCAACCAGCTAGATGGCTTTGACCCTCGAGGGAACATCAAGGTGCTGATGGTCACTAACAGACCCGATACTTTGGATCCGGTGCTGATGAGGCCGGGGAGATTGGACAGAAAGATTGAATTCAGTTTACCTGATTTAGAGAGTCGAACCCATATCTTTAAAATTCATGCTCATTCAATGAGTGTTGTAAGAGATATCCAGTGTGAACTGCTAGCTCGACTGTGTCCAAATAGCACTGGCGCCGAAATTAGAAGTGTCTGCACAGAAGCAGGTATGTTTGCAATCCAAGCACGGCGAAAAACTGCAACTGAAAAGGATTTCTTAGAAGCTGTAAATAAGGTCATTAAGTCTTATGCCAAATTCAGTGATACTCCTTGCTACATGACATACAACTAAGCTGCAAAGCTTTCAAATGAAAACACTTCTAGTTCGGATCCTGAGTTTACATAGTCTTGTTAATAACCATCTCACAAAAAAATAAATGTTCAATGTGAGAAAAAATAAAAAATAAAAATAAACATTAAGCTCTTCAATGATTACATGTTTGAAATATATGTTCACATTCATTTTAGGAACAGTCATATATATTTAAGTTTTTGATTCTTATGATTTTCCTTCTCCTTCTCACTCACCATCTTCCCTTTGGTTCCAGGTCTCCTTTCTTCATTTCATCCTCCTTATCATTATTCATGTAATTATCATTGTTTAGTTCATGTTTGTGACATATAAAAGTTGTATTCATTGTGGAGAGTTGGTACCCAACATCAAATCTTTTTATATCCTCTGCTTCCATCTTTGGCTTCCAGATCTCCTCTCATTTGCCAAAGAACTGTCTCTCTGTGTACTGGTATATTCCCGTGAAGAGATAAAGAAAATATGGCACAACATGTAATAGAATACTACTTGTCCATAAAGAAGGATAAATTTAAAATACATTAAGAGAATTAAAAAATCTTCAGTGCTTTTAAAACATAGTTGAGTTCAATCAAACAAACAAGAAACCCACCAAAAACCAAAAAATGTAACAAGTTTTCTGAATACCTAAACACATAAATTTTGTCAAAATTAGATGAACTGAGCTCATGATGTCAATTGTTTCTAAAATATATCCTCAAAAATTATTTTACATTTCCCATTAACCAAGTATAAATTTTACTACAATACAGAAGTTTTAGTTTAACAATATTCCATAGTCTTCTGACCAACACTGAATACTTTCAGAAATCAACACTGTAGAGATTAAGTTACATTTTACCACTGTCATGTTATTTTCTAACTTTGTGTTTGTCTCATGAAACAAAAAGCAAACTCATAAGTTGATAGTGTACAGTACAATCTGTTGTTTATATTGTGAAATTATCATATTGTTCCTTGCATAGCATTTGCATCATCTAATACAATCATCTTTTGCATATATTGAGAAAAAAACTACAAACTAATTTCATCAAATTGTGATGCTATGTGGCATTGCATCACTCATGGTAGTCACTTTGAGATCTAGAATTTCTACTTTATAAGGGAAACCTTGTGCTTTCTCATTAGCATCTCTCAACTTCTCCACCTACATGTGGCAACCTTCACTAAACTCTATTTCTTTAAAGTTGTTAAATTTAAATATTAAAATCAATGAGATCTAGTTTTTATTTGTGTACTTGTAGCATATTTCATGTAATGACCTCATTACCTTGTCATAAATGAAGGCTTTACTTTCTTTTATGGCTCAATAAAATTTCATTATATGAATAAACTTCACATTATCCATACAGCTAAGGTGATGGTTTGCATGTTAAATGTCCCTTAAAGGCCATGTACTGAAGACTTGGACACAAATGTGCTTTTTCATTCTGAACTTAACATTATTAGGCACTTACCAAACTCATCAGTTTCCATAAATATATTGGAAGACTGTTTCTGTGCTTCAAAACAGTGTATCTCACTCCTAACACAACTCTCTAGGTCTCCGTTAACTTGATTCTTAACTTTTTCATATTTAGTATTTATATTAAGTCTCACTTTGAGTTTATGCATTTTTTTCTGCTATGACAAGCATACAAAGCCTTCACACATTATTTAAATAGTTTTTTTTTTCCTTTCAAAATTGAGGATTGAACTCAGGCCCTTGCGCTTGCCAGGGAAGTGCTTATTCCACTGAGCTATCACCCCAGCCCTGGCTTCCTCTTCAGTGGGAACTCTTCCATGATTTTCATGGTAAGTGGAAGAATGGGTTTCCCATATTTGAGCACACATATGACCTCCCTCGCATATGAATTCTTTCATAAACTGGAATACCAAGAAAGATAAAACATTTCCCACATTATTCATGGATGTTCAGAGTCTCTATGCTATGATTTCCTTCAGGTATGTAATATTACCTGTGTGCTGATTTTCTTATATTGCATACACAGAAAGGGCTTCTCTGTACTGTCCTTTCATGTCACTGTCACTTTATATGTTTGAAACTTTCTTAAGTTTTCAAATGCCTACAATTACTAGAGTAACTGAATGCTTTTCCATATTGTTAACATACACAGGGTTTAACACTGTGTGATTCCTTTCATGGTTTTGGCAATTGCTATGTGTGCCAAAAGCTTTCTCACATTACTTAAATGCACAGGGTTTCACCCCACTGTGAGTCCTTCCATATATTTGACAGTTACTGTGCTGCTGAGTTTTCCCACATTACTTACATACATCAGGTTTCTACCCAGTGTGAGTCCTTTCATGTGTTCGACAATAACTTTGTGTTCTGAAAGCCTTGCCACACTGCTTACATACATAAGGTTTCTCTTTGCTGTGAGTCATTTCATGTGTTTTACAATGACTGGGTGTCATGAAACCTTTTCCACAGTGCTTACAAACATAAGGTTTGTCCCCAGTGTGGGCCCTTTCGTGTCTTTGACAATAGATGTGAGTGCTGAAACCTTTCCCACAATATTTACATACATAGTGTTTCTCCCCAGTGTGAGTCCTTTCATGTTCTTGACAATGACTGTTTCTGGCAAAAGCTTTCCCACACTGCTTACATACATAGGGTTTTTCTCCACTGTGAGTCCTTTCATGACTTTTACATATACTGTGTTTGCTGAAAACTTTCCCACACTGCTTACATACATAAGGTTTCTCCCCAGTATGAGTCATTTCATGTGATTTACAATGACTGGGTGTCATGAAACCTTTCCCACAGTGCTTACACACATAAGGTTTCTCCCCAGTGTGGGTGCCTTCATGTCTCTGACAATAGATGCGAGTGCTAAAACCTTTCCCACAGTATTTACATACATAGCGTTTCTCTCCAGTGTGAGTCCTTTCATGTTCTTGACAATGACTGTTTCTGGCAAAAGCTTTCCCACACTGCTTGCATACATAGGGTTTCTCCCCAGTGTGAGTTCTTTCATGACTTTTGCATACACTGTGTTTGCTGAAACCTCGCCCACATTGCTTACATGAATAAGGTTTCTCCCCATTGTGGGTACTTTCATGTATTAGACAATAACTGTGTGTTCTGAAAGTTTTCCCACACTGCTTACATACATAAGGTTTCTCTTCAGTGTGAGTCATTTCATGTGTTTTACAATGACTGGGTGTCACAAAACCTTTCCCACATTGCTTACATACATAAGGTTTCTCCCCAGTGTGGGTTCTTTCATGTCTTTGACAATAGATGCGAGCACTGAAGCTTTTTCCACAATATTTACATACATAGGGTTTCTCCCCAGTGTGAATTCTTTCATGTATTTTACAATAACTGTGTGTGCTGAAACCTTTCCCACATTGCTTACATACGTAAGATTTTCCCCCACTGTGAGTCCTTTCATGAGTTTTACGTGTATGATATGTACCAAAAGCTTTCCCACATTGCTTACATACATAGGGTTTCTCCCCAGTATGGGTACTTTCATGTATTAGACAATAACTGTGTGTTCTAAAAGCTTTCCCACACTGCTTGCATACATAAGGTTTCTCCCCAGTGTGAGTCATTTCATGTGTTTTACAATGACTGGGTGTCATGAAACCTTTTCCACAGTGCTTACATACATGAGGTTTCTCCTCAGTGTGAGTCCTTTCATGTCTTTTACATTCACTGTGCCTAGTGAAGGCTTTCCCACACTGCTTACATACATAGGGCTTTTCCCCACTGTGAGTCATTTCATGTGTTTGACAATAACTGTGGGTAGTGAAGGCTTTCCCACATTGCTTACATACATAAGGTTTCTCTCCAGTGTGGGTCCTTTCATGCCTTACACAATAAGTGCGTGTGCTGAAAGCTTTGCCACACTGTTTACATATATAAGGTTTCTCCCCAGTGTGAATACTTTCATGTGTTTGACAATAACTGTGTGTCCTGAAAGCTTTCCCACAGTGTTTACACACATAAGGTTTCTCCCCAGTGTGAATCCTTTCATGTATTTTACAGTAATTGAGTCTAGTGAAAGCTTTCCCACATTGTTTACAGACATAGGGTCTTCCCCGACTATGAGTCCTTTCATGACTTTTACATATACTGAGAGTACTGAAACCTTTCCCACATTGTTTACATACATAATGTTTCCCCCCACTGTGGTTCCTTTCATGTATTAGACAGTAACTGTGTGTTCTGAAAGCCTTCCCACATTGCTTGCATACATAGGGTTTCTCCATAGTGTGAATTCGTTCATGTCTTTGACGATGTCTCTGTGTTTGGAAAGATTTCCCGCATTGTTTACATACACAGAGTTTTTCCCCAGTGTGACTTCTTTCATGTTTACCAAATGAAGTGCTACTATTTAAGGATTTCCAACTGTGGTTATATATGTATGATTTTGTCCCAGTGAGAG